TGTGTGTGTGTGTGTGTGTGTGTGTGTGTGTGTGTGTGTGTGTGTGTTAGCCAAAGGTTTGGTGATCTCACGGTGACTTCACGTCTTTCTAGTTCTGACTCATCGTGTACCATGGCGTGCTCTCGGGTCATGTTCGGGCCATTTGGTAACTTTGTGGTACTTTTGCAAATAGCTGAGTCACACTTTGTCACTGTATGTAGTGGACACACCCATATGACTACTTTTGTTAGCCGTTGATTCAACACGCCTGGAATTTCACTGGCCATCAGTGTTGTAAGGGTGCTGGTGATGTCAGGGGATCTGTGTGAGTGTGTGTGTGTGTCTTTGTATTACCTTCTGTGGCTGCATGTGTGGTTCCAGCTGACTCGATAGTTGGCATTGTGATAGCATGTTTGGCATTTTCTGCAAATTCCCACGTTTTTTTTAAGCATGCCTGGTCTTTCTGGTAAAATCCACATGAGTTGTTCTCCACCTCTATGGATGAAGGTGTTACTACCCAACCATTCTACAACATCTCCACCTGAGTTGTAGGAAATGCTCATTCACTATGAAATTATTTCAAAACCTACTTTTGATAAATGGTTTCTTTGATATTAAAAACTGTGAATCTAATGTTTTTTTTGAGCTAGCCAAGTTTCCCATAATTCTTTTGATGTTCAAGCATAATTTTGCATGTCATTCCAAGTCCTTCAAATTGTACCTGTCCATTTTGGAACTGCTCTACTCTTCCTAAAATGCTTACAGTTCCCCTCTAGGTCCAGACATTCATGTAAATGTGAAGTTCACCTGTGTTGTGTACGTTTTAACCGTCAGAAAATGGACATCACTTATGTTTTCTCCAGAGACGGACACGTTTCTTTAATAACATGCCCTGATTTATAGTCGGGGCAGCCCTGTTACATCGACGAGACCTCTTAAGTGGGTTCAGTGTGTCCACAGGGGACAACTGCAGACCCACCTGAAGTCATAAAAACCTTTCTTTTGGCCTCTCGTTCTGTTACTATGGATTGGTCCCGATGGAGAAAGCAAGGCAAAGCAACAAACAGTTCACAGCCGAAGCCTAGCTCTGTTGGTAATAGTGAAGAGTGATGGTTGACAGGAACAATTATGCAGATCCTTTTGAAAGATATTTCACTTAAAAAACTTTTTGTTCCGTGTGTTTCTTTTCTCCCTTAAATAAATGTTATGATTTTTTTTTTTAAATGTTTGATCATTTTTGCTCTGGCGTCTGTCACCGTGGGGTTCAAAGGAAGTATTGTGAAGCCTGAGTGATGAGGACCGTGGAACATTGAGGACCTTCAGCATATTTTTCACATTCTCCTTTGAGGGTCTCAACCTTAGCTCCCACCACACTCTCACACACACACGCACAAAAACCACAGATGTTTCTCACCACTGGGCAGCAGTGGCTGTGGGCTGCATCGTAGCAGTCCAGTGGCAGAGAATAGACTCCGTACGTCTGTTGTTCTGCTCAAACCCGGTAATGTGTGTGTACGCTTCTTGTCTGTGCTCACCTGCACCTTTCTTCCCCTCCCGCAGTGGCGTTTGTGTGGTGAGCAGCAACAGCAGCAGCAGCAGCGGCTAAAGATGACGGAGTATAAGCTGGTGGTGGTGGGAGCTGGAGGCGTGGGCAAGAGTGCACTCACCATCCAGCTCATCCAGAACCACTTTGTGGATGAATATGACCCCACCATAGAGGTATGACTCTCTTCTGCATGTTCTCCACGTCATTCTCGTGGGAGACCTCTTGGGTGTTGGGGTGGGAAGGTAAATCATTTCCAGCTCCCCCCTTGTATTGTTGTGTGGTTATCCACCACTTTTACATCTATGTGGTAGAATGCATGCATTAATTAACATATTTGTTTATATGAAAGTCTAACCCCACCTTCTGAACAATATTGTCTGGACCCTATTGAGAAGACAGCTCAGTCTAAAGTTAATTTAATTACATTAAACAAATGTCTGTCAATTCTCCAAACGAACAGGCTTGGAAGAAATTCCTAATTTGCAATTCATATATTTGAATGAAAACAATACATCGAAAAAAATCTTGCAGACATTGTAAAGAGGAGAGGGAAGCCAGTGAGAATGTTTTCTCCTCTCTTCTTCCCTCTCTTTCTCACCACGCCTGCCTCTGGCCAGACAATGTCCTTTTTGTGTATTGGCATTCCTGGCCCCTATGCTCTAACAAACAAAGGGACGGCACTCCGTGTTTTTGTGGCCGCGCGCTGGAAGGCTAAACATTGGCTCCGATACCCTGCTCCTCTGATCTATACGTGTGCATTTTTACCCGGAATTGGACAGGGAATTGACAACAGATACCAGTTCATACACATTCAATCAACATCTCTGTGTGTTTATATATGAACATGCTGCTTAGCGCTGAGTGGCGAAGCATGTAACAACATCAGTAGACCCACATTTGCCTCAAATTCCACCTGAACCCCTCTGTTTTTAGTGTCTGACTTTCGTTACAGATTGCTCACCCACACATTTGTACTACCTCCCCAATTTGTGACCCTTTTTTCCCGCAGGACTCGTACCGGAAACAGGTTGTGATCGATGGGGAGACCTGCCTGCTGGACATCCTGGACACTGCAGGTCAGGAGGAGTACAGCGCCATGAGGGATCAGTACATGAGGACAGGGGAGGGCTTCCTCTGTGTCTTCGCCATCAACAACACCAAGTCTTTTGAGGACATTCACCAGTACAGGTGTGTATAAGAGCGAGGCGAAGAAAGAGGGTTTGGGTTTAGTTGTGACGTTGATGTGGAGCATTGTGAGATCCGCCGTTGCCGACGTGAACCTAAGCATTTACCCTCTTCACAGACCAGTTGGGGCGGAGGACAGAAACAAAGTGATTTCTGTTCCCTCTCTTCTAAGCTTCTGTGTATGTGTATTTGTACATTCAGTGTGTGTTGCAGGGACTCCCATGAGGTCTGGATAGAGAGGGGTGTGTATATACGTATGTGTGCCAGCTCGCTGCAGTAGTTGGGTGATGTCATGCTGTAACGTTTAACGCAGCTAAAGAAAGCTTAGCCCCCAACTGGAGGATTACAGCATGATGCCAATGAAATCGATCCTGACTCAATTAGAGGAGCGGAGAGAGAGAGAGAGAGAGAGGTAGCACTTTCAAGGACAGGGAAGGAGAAAGGGGGGGAGAGATTCAGCTGGAGATGACAGTGTTCTCTCTCCCTTTGCCACATTTTGTCTTTCTCATCACATTAGGCACCCACTTGTCAGTCTTGCACAGGGCAAGTAAAAGAGGCTGCATATTAACTTTGCCACTTCCTCTACAGGTTTGCAGGTCATTTCTTTTGAGTTTCTTACACGCACATTTGTTTGGCTTTGCTGCCATTGCAGTCGAGCCTTTTTTATTTTGAGCCCGGCCGATACAACTGCTGATATCACTGCAAAACCATTGTGTAGCTTGTGAAAGCGTGCATGGATCTTTCGCTGGATGCTAGAATAGGTGGCGGTCCGGTTAGAGCCGTCGAGTTATTTAAAGATGTGTGGTCTATTTTATCGACAAAAATAGTCAGAGGCATTTCTGCAGAACTTCTGCTCCACTGTTGGCACATACTGGCATGGTACCCGCTTAAAACTGGGCATGATTTGAACCAGCCAGCACTATTAGACCGAATGCACCAAGAGTCTCAACCACATATGACGAGGTGTAAACATGTCTGCTTTGACATCAAGACTCGGAGCAACCGTGGTCATGAGCACCATTCGCAGTGTTGGCTGCAGGGCAGGGCTGCCTGTAGCGGATGCATCCTGCCATACCGTGGCTTAGGGAGAAGCAGGGCTGAGCTGATAGATTGATCTGACCCACTCCTCTCAGCCAGTTTCCCCCTGGCTGCCTGGCGTTTGGCGCTGGCTGCTGTAGTGATGAGGTAATGCTGTTCGCCGCCTGCCTGTTGTCCCTCCCTCCCCCCCTCCCTTCGACTCCACATCCCCTCCTTCAGCAGTGCAGTGCAGTGCAGTGCAGCACAGCCCAGCACCGGCGGGCTCTGGCTCTTCCTCAGGGTCCTAGAGCTCCCTGGGTGGTTTTGCTCTCCAGTGGTGGAGCTGCTGTTGTTTATGAAGCAGGGAGGATCCCAGGCAAGAGATATGTCCCTGTGTGTCTAAATGCAGTGCCCGGGTTTGAGTTAAGGAAACGGCCAAAAGTTTTGCAATTAAATATCAACTGTGGAAATGTTCTTGTTCTGCAATTCACAGAGAACAGATTAAACGTGTGAAGGACTCAGACGACGTTCCCATGGTGCTTGTGGGAAACAAATGTGACCTCCCGGCACGCACGGTGGACACAAGGCAAGCCCAGGAACTCGCCCGCTCTTACGGCATCCCTTACATCGAGACCTCTGCCAAAACACGACAGGTAGGTAGTGAGCAGGAAGCACACAGCCACAATACCACACATGCACTTTCCTGGAAGATCCCTTTTCTTTCTCTCTCTGGTATTGAAAACAACCTTTAAAGGTCCAGTGTGTTGGATTCATGAGGATCCATTGGCAGAAATGGAATATAATATTAATAACAATGTTTTTATTAGTGTATAATCACCTGAGACTAAGAATCGTTGTGTTTTCATTACCTTAGGATGAGCCCTTCATATCTTCATAGTCCGCCATGTTTCTGAAGTAGCAACAGAGCAAACAAACCAAACAATGGCTCTAATAACTAGTTCCATGTAACTGCTTTACGTAATTGGATTATATATGTAATTTTAATTTGTTGCAGTTGCTGAGAAAAATATATATAATTAAATTGCAGTTGCTAATCAAAATGTTTGTGATTACAAAGAGGTTACAAAAGAATATATTGCTTTTTGGTAAAATGCTTGTATGAAGAGTCTGTTGCTTTGTGATCGATTAACTAGTGGATTAGCGGTGGCAGGACACATCCAGGCCGAACCCACGGCAGCACTACGGCGACTGCTCTCCGCTCACCCCTCGTCGGACTGACAGGCGCCTAAAGACAGAATTCACACACACGGTTCATTCCCATCCGGAGCCCGCAGTGATTGTTTCTAAGATTTTAAGAGTCCCCGGCCACTACTGGTACTTCATCGATTCTCTTTCTCCTTGCCCAGTTTCAAACATTTGTTAGGAAAGTAATCGAATGTAATAAGTTACATTCCTAATTACATTTTTAACAGGGCAGCTAGTAATGACTAATTACATATTAACAGGGTAACTAGTAATCTGCAAACCATCACATTACAAAAGTAACCTTCCAAAGATTGCTGAAGGTCCGCCGTCTGAATTTCGTTGCTCCTAAAGTAGATGAGGCGATGGTCCTGAAGGATACCGCGGTTTTGCACTCGGTGGCTCACGTTACGTTAGCGCAGTCTTTAAAGGGGAGGAGTAAGCTGAGGGGTATCTGCAACCTCACCGCTAGATGCCACTTAATCCTACACACTGGACCTCTTCATTTCACCGATTAGTTCATTTTTCCTCCCATCTTTGCGAGCCACAATATTCAGATTCTATGTAAATCTGAACTCGCCCTGTGCTCCATCGTTCTGCAGTAAACAGGTTATCACAGCGTCCTACTATGGGCTCTGCGGTGTTCCACATTGTACGCGTATTCATGCACATGAAGAGCCGTGAATGGCCCCGCGGTACGATGTTATTTGTGTTGCTGGAAACATTTTATCATGCCGCAGGCAGTGACTCATAGCCAGGTTACCTTGGCTTGAGAGCAGAGCTCCATTATTTGAAAGGCTTCGTAAGGACAAGTCGCTGCACAGCTCCCACCGCCTGTGACTCACTGTCACACATTATGTGGGAACATACATTCATCATTGAAAGTCTCCCATTCAACCAGAACAGCGTGTAAAGAACTAAGTGACGGACTTCTTTTTTTAGTCTTTTGATATATCCAGGTTGCCATGGCGATGTTACCAGGCCTCTCAATGTTGAGTACACCTGAGAGGTCTGCTGTCTGTCACAAAGGGGTGTATGCGGTGTACTCCCAGTTAAAATTGACCATTGCAAGTGCCCAGATCTTTGTGCAACCCTCCGGTGTGTCCGTGTGTTCGCAGGGAGTAGAGGACGCCTTCTACACGCTGGTTAGAGAGATCAGACAGCATAAGCTGAGGAAGCTGAACCCGCCGGACGAGAGCGGTCAGGACTGTATGAGCTGTCGCTGTGTGGTGTCGTGATGCAGGTGAGACACGTCTCCAGAAATGTATTTTTATTTAGTGTTACGCAGCAATAATGGGAGTCCAAATTGGTCTGTTATGCTAAAACTCGCACGTCTTCTTCTTTTAATGCGTTTGACTTCTCATTGTAGCTAAAAAATAAATGTGAACCCTCAGTTTCAATTTTTCCCCAGAAACGATAAAGTGCCATTAACACCCCCCCCCCCTTGTCTTTTCTTTCCCCAGCTGACTGTTGCATGTTGAGGAGAAATGCTACGGCGCGTAGTGGCAGCATGGACTTAAAGATAGAACGTTAAAACAACTCAATGATGAAATATAAACTTTTTCAAAAAGAGGAGGATTGAAGCAAAAGCTCTCAAGGAAACCAACCAGAGCTGACTGAACCATAGACCTTCATGGGAAGGAGGATTTGGACTGTTGCCTTAACGGCTATCTGAACTATCGGTCCGGTCCCTTTTATTTGGTCCACGTGTCGACCTGTGAGCAACACCACTAATGACTCTTTGTCAACTCCAGTGTGGTCTCGCTGGATGGCTCAACAAGTTTCCTGCTAACTTATTGTTTTCAGTCTCAACACTGGTCTTGAAGGGGGTGTCTCTGACCCCCTCCCACCTTGAAAGCCTAATTCCACTCCCCCTGCCTGCCCACTGGAAGGACTGACTGACTTAAATGGAAAGGACTGGAACATAAATACCCCTCCCCCGACTACCTGCCTTTGGTTTCCTTCACTATACTGGATACAAGGGGTGGAGGCTGACATGGGAATGACTATAATTTGTTGTTTTAACTGTTAGCCTAGCTGTACAAAATCTTTTGATTTTTTTTTTTTTTTTTTTTTTTTTTTTTTGATATGATACATTTTGTTTGTGATTGCAGAATTTGAAAAGTCACAGAGCAATATGCGAGTAAGGGCGTTCATCACAGGTGACACCCGGCTTGACATTAATCATGACCTGCCTGGCGTAGTTGGAATTTCTTTATAGGAAGATAGATGAATTCCCAGAATGCAGCTGCCTTCTCTCCTTTCAAATGTGTTTTTCTTTGCTACAGTCAAGAGTTGACTTTGTGGAATAATAATAGTAATGGCTAATGTACGTAGGTTCTGGTGCAATAGATTTATTTACTGTTCAACTCACACAACGTTTTGGGAATGAACCACCTCTCATTGCTACTGGTTTTACTTTGGTAGGGAAGCGGTTTGTATCTGTCGGAGGAAAACTCTGCACTTGTACAGTCACACAATGACAGGTTATGGTTTGAGACAAAAATGACAACCAGTTTTTTTTCGTTTTTTTTTTCTTCTTGCATTTCATTTCGGTAAGCGTATGCTGTACAACTCTTATTTACTACACGGGGATAACGGCTATTTTTTTAGATTGCAAGAATCACTCCTTGTTGATAATACGGCTCAGGAATCAGGGTCCAGGAAAGTCTCACCAGTCCTGGCAACCCCCAGGGTTAAGGATGTCACCAGTTAGCTTTGCAGAGTGTAACGCACAAAGTCCTGCCTCAAGAGTCCAACTTGAGTTTTTCCTCACACCATGCGATCCTCACAACCTGCTCCTCTTTCTCTGCCACCTCAGTTCTGCAACGGAACAATAACCGGTCAGGTGCTACTCATGTCAGAACCATATTTACTGTATATGTGGGACTATTGTGTGTAATAGGTGATGGATATTGGGTGACGTGAGTACGTCGCTTTGTTAAATTAATACCGACTAGCTTGTGCTCTCCACAACTGCATTAATTTGCTGCCTAAATGGGGAAAAAAAGACTGCTCTGGATTTACTTAGCCTTATCGTTTAGCTAGTTTGTACCTCATGTATGCAGCGAGCTCTACCCGAGACGAATATGTGTTCTGCTGGCTGCATTGTTTATGTGTGCAACTAAAAAAATAAAAATAAAAAAAATGTGTGTTGACTTTAGACATGCGCTGTATAGAATTTGAAAGACAAGGCAAGTCCCTGAAAACACTACACTGATTTAAAGAAGGGGGTTTTCTGTAATAGCATGTGCGTCTGAATGTGATTCTGCTTAGCAAGACTGAAAAACAACACAGTTTAAGTATATATGCCGGGTTGTCTTGCTGTCATGTTCATATGAAGTTTCCTTCTCAAAACATTGGAACATGTGATGATGATGATGATTACTAGAAATTGTTACTTTAAGTCAAGGTTATACTTGAACAATTCAGAGAGTTGGTCATGTATGATGATGTATAGCGCTCCAGACACTACAGGCAGGTTTTAGCAACAAGCTCCAGATGCAAACCTCAGAGGAATCCCAGACTTCTTCCACGAAAGATGTCACATGTTATTTGGCCTTTGTCTCCTGTCGAGGGAAACAAAATGTTTATTTCTGACCGAATTGATTTTGTACAGTTAAAGGTTCCCTCATAACATGGCTTAAAGATGATATGATCAGTCCGGTTTAGCGTGGATGGTTGTGAAGTTGTTTTTAATCAGTTAAGTGTTCATTTCTCTGCTCGGAGGAAGGATATGAACTGTGAATGTGTTTTGAGTCGTTAGATATGTTTGAAAGAAGCCTCGTGTTTAAAATTTACGATATTGTAATAATGCAGGAGTGGATCCTTAGGTCCCACTTTTGACTGTGTTGTTTCTAACTTTTATTTTTCACCCATTGTGCTCCAAAAAAAAAAAAAAAGGGTGTGGCATTTGTAACATGTAATTACAGTCCTGATAGTATGCTTGTCCTCTCCCTGTCAATCTTTAAACAGTACATCCATGGTAATACATAGAATTCCACAAATCTTTGTATTCAAATTCCTGTTTCATTAGCTACCTTCATCATGTTGCCACAGGCATACTCCAGCCAGCAAACAATAAGTAGACATGTCAGAAGACCTAGAGAGCATGACGGAGACTGTACGGACCATAGGGAGATTTGCACAAGGATAAAGTGGGCTCAAGGGCTTGTTTCGCCCTTGCAAACTGCGGATGGAGGTGTGGAAGGAATTTATGAAAATGACAACTGTTTAGCTATTTAAGATGTATTTACTCTTTGAAAATGTGGCAAATGTATTGCAGGACAGGAATAAAGATGTCAAGATGAAACTGTGTCTTTGGTCCCTCAACTGTCTAACTTTTAGATCATGTTGCTCTCAAATATAGGATTTGCTGCCACCTGCAGGCTGCTTTGTGTATCATATTTGAGTGAAAAAAAAGCATAGGAGACAGAATTGTATTACAAAAAACTTGAATAATTTACTGTTACACTGTGGTGTAAACTCAGCTGAACGATATACATGTTCTTGGCAAATGCTTTGCCTGTTTGAATGGGAGGGTCACAATGTACGATATCGTGTGCTTTGCTTTATGGGGACAAGTACAGCTGTGATCAAGGTTCAAAAGACCGTCATAAATGTGTTTACACAAGAGTTACCGTCAGCAGTGCCATGTATGAAGAGTTTTAGGTTCCACAGGTGAATAGGGAGTCACTTTCAGGAAGGAGGAATTATGCAGGAAATATACTGTCTGGAGTGATAAAAAGCAGCTCAATGGGGCATGGTATAAGAATACTATTAATTTGTAATTTTGCATATTTTCTAAGTATATACAAATAAATGTTAATACACTGAGTTAAATGTAAAGATGTTGGAGAACAACCAATCTCCTCTGATGAATACAATGTAAAAGTACAGTAAGTATGCCTTTTCAAAATAGAGCATTTGAGAGGTTTTTGGATTTGTATTACTGCTGCTATTGTTGTTTATTTTACTATGTAACCCATATGGAATGAATGGTTTGACGGCAGTCACAGGTCAAAATGATTATTTTTCTGTCTTGTTTGTTCAAACCATGTAGCCTAGTTACAGCTTTTTAGGGCCGGTGATTTACATAATTGTGAGGCTGTTCTCTCACTGGCTTTCAAGTGTCGTAAAAGCTACAGGCAGTTATTCATAAACCCGAGACAGACAGAAAGGCGGAATTGGTGAGTGTTGGTGATCAAAAACATACACAGAAAAGATATTTTCCTTTTGGATGAACTGTGATCATGCCGTACTATGAGAATGTGATTAAGAAAATGCTCCCTAAGGTAAGAATAATTATTAACAATTGAAATAAGAATTTAGTCTCCTGAAATCATGTAGAATGTATATTCTGTTCAGTGTTTGTTTTGTATCCTTTCATTTTGAAGACATATCTCCGCCAACATGTGGCCCGTGAAATATATGTTGCACTGACTCACTTCCAAAGCCTTGTGCCCATGATGGATAAATATGGTAAGAAGCTAAATAACTGCTAACAATCTGTTTCTGAACTTATTCAACCTGGGAAAAATTCAACAAGTGCTATATCGTCAGTCTTCAATTTCTTTCAGTTTACAATGATGGAACCACGAAAAACTTGATGAGTCTAACCGGAACCATTCCTGTCATGTTTGAAGGTAACAATGACTTTGCACTTTATGCTGTTTGTGAGCAGTTTAATTATAATGAGAAGCTGACTCTGACGTGGATTCTGAACAGTTTTTGATTCTAAAAATAAGTCAGGTAAAGCTCATAATCTCGTAGAAGATAAAATACCCTTTCCCTCTGTTCTTATATACAAGGCAAGACCTACAACATTCCTGTCTGCCTGTGGATTGAGGAAAGCTACCCCCAAACTGCTCCCATCTGCTATGTCAGACCCACATGTGAGATGACGGTCCTCAGTGGAAAGTATATCTCCAGCAATGGTGAAGTCATGCTGCCTTACCTGGAGGAGTGGAAGGAAGGAGTGAGGATTTAAATGATACCTTGTACTCTTTCACTAGTCTGCATGTAAAAAGAGATATAGACAACGGCACCTGTGTTGTTACTGATGTTGGCTGGCACTTACATGTACAGAATGGTGAGCTTTAGAGCTTTACATGTTTCATGCGGGATTTCCTTTCTCCTATCAGGGCGAATGTGACCTAGTGAGCCTACTGCAGGTGATGGTTGTTGTGTTCGGAGACTTCCCTCCTGTATGCATGCAGTCTCATCCAGAGCCCGAACAAGATCCTTGTAAGTTACACTCACACAAGCAGGAACAAGTTTCAAAACAACACATATATCCTCTAGATACAAGTTGATGTTGACAAGACAGGTGCATATCCAGGCCACACCTGATTCAGTGTGAATCTTTTACATTACTTTCTTCCTGTTAACATGTTTATGAATTTGTTGTGACTGATAATGACCTTCTAAAATGACAAATATATATATATTTTTATAGGTTGGCTTCAGTTCCACAGACAAGCAGAGGTGCTTTCAAGGACAGATGGAAGTTTGTATCTGCATTTAGCCAGTGAAGATGATCTACCTATCCAGCAAGAAAATGAAACCAGCTGTTAGCTTTGTGGACTGTTTGTGTGTTGGCTGTGATGAAGTGTTTTGATCCTGTGTACAGTGTCAGATGGTATCCATTGATTATTTCAAGGTTATTTCATTGATGATTTCAGATAAATAACAGCATGCTGTATTTTTGTCAAATGATTTAGACTGTAAATGTCATGCAGCACCTGATGAAAAACATATTGACCGTGTTTGGTATGAATGTATTGGATTCTTTTTTTAAATATGTACTTCATTTGAACATAACAAACTACAACAAACAAATGTGGCATTTGAATGCTTGTGTGTTAAAAGACTCAAATTGCTTTACAAGCTGTTCATAAAACCTTATATGCACCCTAAGGCCTTTGTTGCGTTCTTATCCACAAATGTTTTGGACTTTTGACCAGTGAAGAGACAAGTTAGTAACTTGAAGAATACACATGCAGCCAGGTATATAATCCAACAGATCATAATACATTGTAATTTGAGGTTTATTTAATTTTTACATAGAATCTATCTGACAACTCTTCCGTTAAATTGAAAAACTATTACTTACAAGAGTTTCTCAGTTACTGTCTTTAAAATTGTTGTGACTTCTTTTGTCAAACGTTTCAGTTCATAAAGTGAAAACTTAGATTAACCACCTCTCCCATAAAAACAATGTACTGTTCCCAAAGACAGGACTAGCACCTTAATACAACCTCTTGTAAAAAGTGACTAAATCATTGTCGTGTTGTAAATAAAGATATGATGGGAAAGACTTGTAAATAATTGTTTTGTATAATTACAAAACAATGTGTGACGGTAAACTCACCTGACCACGCCTGCTCGTCTCCTGCTAGCGTCACATGCATACCGGAAGCAGTCAGGTGGAATACCGGAAATTCCTTTTGTTGACCATCGGATATTTGTTTTTCGGCCCTTTTCAGGAACTATTAACTAGTTGTTTTTGTGTTCTTTTTTGTATTGAATTTTGGCGCGTTGACAACAGAGTTATTACTCGTGTTGGACTGGAGGGCTCCATATAGACACCAAATCATTGTAGTGGGGCCCGAGGCTGGGCTAACTGTAGCCTAGCATTCAGTGAAGTCCTGCTAGCCAGCATTAGCTTGTGTTAGCTGTCAGTGTAGCTGGGTTATAAGTCAGCCGTTCACTCATTTAGGTTAACTCATTGATAAGAACGGTGAAAACAAAAACAAAAACATACAAACCATGGCAGTTGTCAACGAAGCTGTCCTGAAGAAAATGCTGAAGGTAAGTGTGACGGTGGCCAACAGTAGCACGTTAGCTAGCTAATGTTACCGATACCAAACATGACACAATCGGTTAACGTCAGCAGACTAACATTTCCTGAAATGGTTAATGCTTAATAATGCCTGTATTCTCTTTAACTTTAGTACGTTAAACATATGGTTCTGTTAAATGTGTTAATGCATTTAACTGAGATCCCTCGTACAAATATGTGTTAACCTAACGTTAGCTGTTACGTTTTTACCATCTAGCATAGCCAGCTAAGCTAGCTAACATCACTAAAACATTAGCTGTGAACTATAAACATATGTTTAAACCACCATTCATAGTTTGTATCCATATAAGTTAATCAAATAGTTGTTTCTTTTACAATAACGATCCAGAATGATGTACCGATTTACCACAACAAATACCACTTGTGTTGTACTAGTTACATGTTGTTGAATATGGTCCCTTATAAATAACTGTAATAATCTAAACTTCATTGAGTATTTTAACTATTATACTATTAATGATTTATGTTGTGTTTCTTAAATGAATAGTTTCTGGGTCATTCAGCCATTAGGCTTATTAGTTGTCAGCTCTGTCCAAATGTATTACCTGAGTGTCTTAACGTTCAATATGCTAACATACATTACTTTTTCATCTTTTGTTGTCATTGTCCAGCAATACAAATACAGGGATCTTACTGTTCGTGAGATAACCAATGTCATCATCCAGTACAAGGACTTGAAGCCAGTCATGGATGCTTATGGTAAATCGATACTGATCTCCTGTTTTTTAACTGTCAAGTCTCAGTTATATATTGTGTGATTAATTTACGGTAAATATCCAAATTGTTTTGCGTGTTGACATGAGATCTTCTTCCATTTCAGTGTTTAATGACGGCTCCACAAGAGACCTGATGAGCCTGACAGGAACTGTCCCAGTGAGCTACAGAGGTGAAGAATGTTCACCTTGCTTTCTAAAAGAAACTGTTTCTCTATCAAAATAATGAACATAAAGACATATTACTTGTGTTTCTTAGTAGAAGCTGAAAGACTGGGGCATAGAAACTGTCAGTTTCTGTTTAGTTTTGCTTCTTCACTCACCTACTCTTTCACTGTAGCTCGCTTTATTTATCTTGCAAACCTGTCGTCTCTAGGTTCAAGTAGAGCAAGTGGAAAATGCCTAATTGTGTCAGCTATGGCGAGAATCCACCTCAACCAAAACACATACAGTTTAAAGACATGCTTGTGTCTCTGCAAAAAAATTGCCACTTGTATTTTGTTACATCTTATAGTGAGCATCAAGCCAATTTTGGGTTTGGGATTACGAACATACATTGTTATCTTACTTGATACCAAGACATGGTTCCATTAGATTTTTAGCCTGTACAATTTAAATTAGTTTTTATATACAGTACATAGTAATTCTTGTTTGCTTCATGTAGAGGTCCAAATTGCACCTGAAAACAGAATACAGAAGTTTGCCTCAAAATAACAAAGTTATTCAAGCGTAGAGTGATGATGATGATGTTGAGACTTAAAAAAATATGATGTAATCATATTATAACATAGTTTATGTTTCCTGTAGGCAATATCTACAACATACCAGTGTGTCTGTGGATGCTGGACACGTATCCCTACAACCCTCCCATATGTTTTGTCAAACCGACCAGTGCCATGATGATCAAAACTGGCAAGCACATCGATGCCAATGGCAAGATCTACCTGCCTTATCTACATGAGTGGAAGCATGTAAGTGTGAGGTCTTAAGTCACTAGTTGTAATTACAGACTGTTTAGGCAAAGAAAGGCAAACATAGAAAAATAAATATTATAAAAGCTCTACATGTCTATTATTTGGGTAATGCTGTTATAGAGGATTTGAAGCGTCACTGCAGCAGTGACACGTTTTAAATCTGGCTCTAACATACAACACTAGTTGTATTATAATAGTAAGTTAAACTGGAATATTTTGTATTTGTCTACCAGTCAGAAAGCGCTGGATGGTACAATTATTTGCGCCGTGAATGTACCTGTGACTCTAGATATTATTTGTGGTTTTCCTGTTGATCATTCAAAGTAGCATTTAGCATTTGTTGTCTTTCTCAATGAAAACTTCTTTGTATGTCTTACAGCCTCAGTCAGACCTGTATGGTCTGATTCAGGTAATGACTGTGGTTTTTGGAGAGGAGCCTCCTGTGTTTTCTCGCCCCACCACACAAGCCCCCTATCAAGCGTTCCAAGCAGCCGGACCCCCTAACCGTGAGTGACACCCATTGTTATTGGGTTGCAGCAAAGCATTGTTTAATAGTGTCCGAAGAACAGGGTGACCCAAAGACTATAAATACTTCTATTAGCACCATATCACTTTGTATGAAAACATACCTAACACGTCTAAGTACACTGAAAGGTGTTTCTGATATGTTGGGCCACCCATTTAGATTAATGATGGTAGTCTAAATATCAAAAACACCTCTCAGTAAGCAATACAATTCATAAGCACCACAAACTACAGCTTCCAAAATATCCAAAGAGTTGAATATTCACCTTTCTTAAACAGTTTAAAGTGGCAATCTCGAAGATTTTCACAATCTATCGCCAAATGAGGTAACACAATGGTGATTGAGTTTATGGTCCACTGATGAAATTATTGCAATATTTATATTTTTGCAGTATAATGAACTGGCAACATTCCTGGAAAAAATGCTGTAATTCAGTTTTTCTCCATTGTATCACACAAAAAAATGGAGCTTTGCACACAATTATAAAAACTTGAAGCTCATGAATAAACAAAAAGACTCCAGACTGCTAAACTTTAAGCACCCTATCCATTGTTTACTCAAATACAAATTCTAAATCAACCAGGAAAAATAAAATGTAAACCTTTGTGAGGGTAAGATTGCTTTAGATTTAGCGAGGTGCACGTAAGAAACTGTGTGTAGTATATCCCGATAAATGATTGGATCACTATGTAGTAGCTTCCCACTGTAAAAACCTACGATGTGTGGGCTTCGTATTATGTCAGGAAACGTAGCATTTTTATACCGTGGCTGTGGAGACAATATATTGAAGATGATTCCTATTATTGCTAATGCTCATGCATTATTAGTGCTCATGCCTTAATATTGCATTATGGTTTGAGTGATGCATTTATTTCCTTAAGCACTAGATGGAGCTCAGATACCACTCCAGCACACACCATGGAGAAAATCTTTGAGAGAGTGAAAGAGTTAAATAATATGTTCACCCGTATGTCCTCAGATGTAATTGTTTCACCATCTCTGTACCTCAGCTTCCTATATGCCTGGCATGCCTGCAGTCTCACCCTACGGCCCAAATCCTAGCCCAGGGTAAGATATTTGCCGAGCAGTTCTCACACCTCTCCTCCAGATAACTCGTGCATGCTGCACTACCAAACATACCTGTCCTGGTATGTTTGTTTTTTCATGGTTTCTTGAGCAGCATATCAAACAGAAGCACTCTTATTCGTGGTTCAGTTACATTTAGAGCTGAAAGTTAAAATATAAACAATTGACTGTTTTTGGATCATTAAACTATTTGCAGAGGCTATCCGGGATACCAATACCCAGCGGGCAACTCTTACCCAGCCACTGCTGGACCTGCACACTACCCCACCCAGACTCCAGTTTCCACAGTGGGTATGTATCACATTTAGTATCCGGGGTGCTGTATTTCTTTGTCATGGTTAAAAGTTTTAAGTTCAAAATCAGCACATGTTTCAAATGTTTTTTTTACAAACTGCACAAGCACAGCAAGTTACAGATGAATATGTCCACTCAGAAACTGTTGTTTTCTGCACTCTTCTGTTTACGTTTCCCTTTTTGTGTTAGTATTACGACACAGTGATTCAATACTTAACTCACCCCTGATAAAACAATACATGTTCTCCTTTCTATGGCCCTTAGACGCTTGACATTTTGACTCTAACTCTCTCGCCCTCTGGTTGACTTTGGTGGCACGCTGAGCCACCAGTGAAAGGTCGTTAGTGTAACCAGAGTGGGGAGCATTAAAGGCCAAAGGGTAGGATGGATCTGATGGGGAAAGGCACAGCCTCTAGCCATCACACCCTACACCTCAGACACAGTTTTATATTTAGGCTGGCAACAGTAACTCCACACAAAGACTGAGCTATGATCAGGGGACCCATCTGCTGCCCCAACATGAGTTAACAGCACTGCACTGAAATGCTGGTCAAGGACCAGCATGCAGGAGGAGCTGTGCACCATATTTAGTAAAGGAGAAGAAATGGGTTCGCCTGTAGACTGCTCAGATCTCCAGGCTGAATCAACTCTGACATTTGTAGTGCTGACTCCAGACTACACATAAGGTGGTCTTCACTCTGAAGACATCCATCAGTGCATTTACTCTTACATAACCTGGTATTCAGTATATTACACAGTATATTACACATACAAGGAATTTGGCTACATGATTGGTGCAACAGTAAAACAGTGTAATAATGTAGAAAATATGAAAATTTACAATAAAATATGGTTAAAACAAAGTATATTATAAAGTGTCACGTGTATAGTAAAAGAGAAAAGATGTGCAAAAGTAAGAAATTGTCCTGGGGATGTAGTGTCTGAGTCAGTGGGGGTCCTGGGCTTTATCCCGGGTTAGGGGGCAGGGGTCCCTGAGGAGCTGGGGGAAGGGGACCTGTTGGTCTGGAGCTGGTGAATGGGATCATGGGGGATGGTGTCAGGACTCTCCCATTGTCTTTCAAAGCGTCAGTAAAGCTGGTTCAGCTCGTTTGCCCGGCAGAGGTAATTCATGGAGTGGGGGGGCTTTGGGCTTGTAGTTGGTGGTCTGAGACCTCTCCAGCTGGTGTTGCAGTTTCTCAGTGAACTGTGATTTAGCGTCTCTCACCGACTTGCTAAACCTGCATTTTGACCCTTTAAACACGTCCTTTGTCCGGACTCCTAAATGCCTGTTCCTTCTGCTAGCTGTCTGAGTTCAGCTGTGAACCAGGGTTTGTCACTGGTTTAACTCACCCTGGTGCCTGTTGGAGCACACAAGTTGATGTATTACGTGACAGCCTCTGTGTACTGTGTACTCATCCAGACTGTTGGTAGCAGTCCTGACAACATCCCAGTTTGTTCAGTCCAAGCACGCCCGAAGATCTTTGTTAAACAGAGCTTTAATATAATACATATGACAGAATATAATATCAAATGTATATATAAATTAGGGATGGGTCATGATTTTCAGAATAGTCAATTATAAATAATGGAATAGTTAATGCGACTTTTCGTCTTGTCTTTAAAAAGTATGTTGAATAGTATTCTCGCTTGAAATGCCCGTCCCTAATATAACCCTGTGGATGTTACTCTACAATAAAACAGGACCATAAACTACAGCCATACAGTTTACACAAGGCAGTGTTACTGCTGGGATGTTCTATTGGATTGTATTGTTAGAGTTTATAAAGGGGTTTTCCAGTAACTGAGAATAAAGTTGTTCAAATGTGTCATAAGTATCCTACTTCAGTTTTCATAACTACCTCCTTTGCCAGGGCATTCTGATGACACATAACCTCAATGAATGAGCATCGAATGTTGGCTAATTACTGACTGGTGATAAGTTAACGGAAATACTTAAAGTAGGATAACAACTCCACCTTAAACAATTGCTACATGAGGATCCCTTTCTCTGATTACTTTGTTTTTCCTGTTTGAGCATCGTTGTAGTCCAATTTGTTTCTATGGTGAGAACACAGAATTCCTCTATTTGGATAACAAAAAAGGATATACATTTATTTGTATTCTAAATTGAAGTCATCTCATCAAGATGATCGGTTAATCCCTCCCACCTTGCTCAGGGTAGGATGTTTCTTTTTTTTTTTTTTTAAGTGTTTATAATCTGTCTTGCCTGTTCACTGTCTAACGTCACTCCTTAACGTCTTCCTCTGAAGGCCCGAACAGAGACGGCACCATCGGCGAGGACACCATCCGTGCATCTCTGATATCCGCTGTGAGTGACAAGCTTCGCTGGAGGATGAAAGAGGAGATGGATAGAGCTCAGGCGGAGCTAGATGCCCTGAAGCGAACAGAGGAGGATCTGAAGAAAGGACATCAGAAACTGGAGGAGATGGTCTCAAGACTGGACCAGGAAGTGGTGAGAAGTCCTCTTCTTGCACCTCTTTTTAATGTTATATTTGTATTTTTTCCAGTCCTCTACTGTCCCGCTATTTGGTCTATGATTAAAAAAAAAAAGATATGTTTGTAATCATTATGTTTCTACTAGTCTGAGGTTGACATGAACATCGAGCTGCTGAAGAGAAAGGACGAGGAGCTGAGTGAGGCCTTGGAGAAGATGGAGAACCAGTCGGAGAACAACGACATCGACGACGTCATCGTGCCCACAGCCCCGCTGTACAAACAGATCCTGAACCTGTATGCTGAAGAAAACGCTATTGAGGACACTATCTTTTACCTCGGAGAAGCCCTTCGCAGGGGCGTAATAGACCTCGAGGTGTTTCTTAAGGTGACAACACAACTACAACTAATGTGTGCGGCACAATGTCTAATCAGCCTGCAAAGTGAAAACGGCACGTTAGCAGAGCGGCAGTTCTCGATCTGGGTCCACACAGGAGGTCTTCGGACACAGTGTTGAGTGTAGGTCAGAGCCCAACACACAATCACTGTTACAACATGCTTAAAACAGAAGAAAATAGACTTGAAGCATAAAGAGTATGCGTTGGGTCACAGTTCTTTTGCGGGTGCAGCACGAGTGAAACGCGAGGCATCATGCAGCCTCTATAGACCGTTGTATTGGTTAAAAAAAGAAGCTTATCTGTTCCGCAAGTGAGACGGACGCAGCTGAAACGCCTCCTGTGTAGACGCTCCTCAGGAGACACGGCCCAGCACACACTTGAGTCCTATGTGGCTTTAGCCTTAATGACTCTGATTCTCTTTTGTTCCAGCATGTTCGCCTTCTGTCCAGGAAGCAGTTCCAGCTCCGTGCCCTCATGCAGAAAGCCCGCAAGACTGCCGGTCTGAGTGACCTCTACTGACCCACGCTGACTACCAGGAAATGTTCATATTTTCACGCCCTCTAAGTCGCTTCCTTTTCCTCTTCTGTTTTATTCCCCCTTTTAATGTCTTCTTGTAGCTCTCCTCTTTTTAATCTAAAAAACAATCTTTTCTCGTGAGACAGAAATCTGAACAGCAACAACAGAGAACGATTGGAAACACAACCATCATGAAGAGCTGGGCTGTCCTGTGTTGCCACAGTTCTCATAGGACATCATTTGTTTTTTTGATCTGACCAAATACTTCATTGAGATCATTGTCAGTCGTGGCCCTTTTGCACCAATATTAAATAAACGCCACTGTGACCACATTGTGAACCAGGAACTGCGGTTGAAACTAAAACATGCTTAGCGCTCATGCCGTGTTGGTATAAGTGAGGTGGGAGCTTATTTTGTGTTTGTGGGTTGGCATACAGTGAGTCAGTGTGTCGACCTGTATATGTTGCAGTGCAGGGGAGCCTACAGATTCTGTTCACAGTCGCTTTCACAGACATTTGTCGAGTAAGCACAAATTGTTCGGAGCTAGCCGAGAGGGGCTTTGTAGCGAGAGCCCCATATGTCCACTGCTCTCATAATGAAAAGGTTACGCTCTGATATAAATACCCAGGGCAACCTTTCAGGAAGGACATGGGGTTCAGCCTCAGCATTTAATTCTGCATGAAGTCTGGCTCATGTTCAGTAGCCATGGAGTCAAAGGGATCACTTTTCATACAGTAGAGGTGATGATGAACATCGACGGGGAACTGTATTTCTTCACTGTCTTCTTTGGGTCTTTTAATGGGCTACATTTCGAGCCCCCTTTCCATTTGATCACACTACTATTTGTATTTCCGGTTTCCCTGTGTCTCTTTCCGAGGGTTTGAGAAAGGTTCTGTGTGTCAGCTGCTCAGGTTCACCCTCCGGTCTGACTGCATTAACCAGTCTATCATGTACAGTGTCTCTGTTGAAGGTGGATGAGTCTTCACAGACTTTATTCTAAGGTGTTTTCTTTTCCTTTGCTTTTCTGTTTTCCCTGTGCTGTCCACTTATTCTCAGGCCTGCTGAGAGGGTTAGGTTTTCAGTAACATAAGGAAAAAGTTGTGAATAAAGCCAGAGCTTTGGAGGATGCAAAAACAAATAAGATATTGTACTAATCAAAAAGTTAACTTATGTAAAGTTTTCAAACATGTCTCATTTAAATTAGCCTTTTACTAAATGCACTTTGAATTGTATGATAGAATATCTGCTGTTATTTGTTTTTCTTGTTTCAAATTCAACCGTAGACCACCTGTTCTTTTTATATCTGTAGAGTTATGTAAATCAGTACAAATAAAAGAAATCTGATTTAATGATTCATCTCTGATTATTTCATTGATCAATATACTTTATATATATATATTTTTTTCACAATTGTTTGAAAAACAACAGAAAAGTGACATCTAATAGTGTTTTCTCTGTCGCGCACACACCTGCTGAACAAACCACAGAAATGACTTCAATGTTTGAACTAGCTGTAATGAGTATTTCTCACTGATTAAACACATGATCAGCATTTTTTTAAATACCCATTTGTAAGCAGGTGCAGCAGCATTTACCAGTATGATCACCGTGCCACAATGTCTCATATTGACGCATGGTATTGTATTTTAATCTCCTGCATAAAAACCTCTAATCTGCCTGGTGTGTTTGACACACAGCTGTGCACCGAGAGCGGCTGAGTCAGCGTCCCTCTAGGCACACAAAAACTGCCTTTTGCTAATTTGCATGACAAACAGGAGAGGACAAAGGACAGACTTGTATCACGATCCTGGCAGATTTATTGGATGTTACGGCAAATTAAAAAAAACAATTTCCAGCTGCCATGACAGGTTCAGTTCCTCAGTGAGTTCGGTGATTAATAAACCATGTCTGAAGTTGTAACAGTAATACATAAATAGATCTTAACAGTATTAACAGCTATAAATAATACCATCATTTTTCTCTTGATGTACTCTATTCCAGAGTAAGTTGGAGTAAAATAAATACAAAACCCTTTGACGGTGTTTAGTGTGTGCTAACAAACAAACACCTTCAAGATTATTACCTTGTGTTACGATGCGTTACCTGACCCTAGGCCGTGATTGTAGCCGACTATTTGCCACTGGCTCTCTGTTATCTCTTAGCTGATTTAAATAATAGTAAGTCTTAAGATGTAACCTTACGTTGTTTATCTGTCAGTGCACTTGTGGTTTTGCTTGTTTACAAAGGCTTCAATGCCAACCAGTAAACGTAGCATAGCCTGTCTCAAATGATAAGCTACTTTGGTGTCACAGGATTTTGGCCCAGTGTTATGCAGCTGTTTCATTGTGAGTATAGCTGGATGTGAAGGCCTCCTCATAGGGAATGGAATGTCTCCATTATACTATAAATAAACAAAAAAAAACAGAGATTACCAAGTGGAGAAAAACAGCCGGCAACAATCACAGAATAAATATAAACTACCAACATGGAGTGTACAGAAGCAACAGTGCACGGTTAACATGCAGTCCGTAGAATGTAAATGCTCAATCTGTAAAAGGCCTTCTTATGTGGACAGGACAACAAATAGACACATCATTCCATCTAAACGCAGGCTGAGCTCGCAGGCTGAGCTCAAAGGCTGAAGGTGGGAGTTAGGTTCCAGAGATTCAGTCACTGATGGAGGCCGACAGGAGGGAGGCAGCAAAGGAAAAGGACACCGATATGTGAATATCTGAAGGGAAAATCTAGCTCCCCCTAGTTTAGCTACAAACACTTAGCCTTTTTCAGACACTCAGAAGTTTCATTCGACTGTTGCAGTTAGGAGCAAAGGAGGTACAGTAAGAGGGAGACAACCACACAGTGTGGAGCGTGGATTGGAGGCTTCAGAGGAGCGCTCTTCACAGGGTGAGCTCCTTCTGTACGCCCCACAGGGTCTCAGCGCTGGTCACCAGCTGCTTCTCTTCTTCGGCCTTCAGTGTCATGTGAATCACATCCGTCAGGCCGCTGTTGCCCAGCACGCAAGGGATGCTCATGAAGACCTCGTCCTTCACTCCGTGCATGCCCTGTCAGAGGAAGGGGGGGGGGGCGTCATTTCACAACATATGAAGAATGTACAGTATGTTCGTGGAAACTAATCAATACGGGGAATTTCGTCGTGCGGGATTTGCCAAACAGCTTAATGTGTGGCTTCTTGCTCCCAGTCTTCTCTCACCTGGACCAGTGTGGACACAGGGTGCACTTTGTGCAGGTTCTTAATGATGCTCTCCACCAGGTCAGCCACAGACATACCGATGGCCCAGGAAGTGTAGCCCTTCAGCCTGATAACCTCGTAGGCCCTGCAGTGCACACACAGAATAAGGAATACACATTCAAAGTGAGAACGGCATGTCTCCTAGACTGAAGACAAAAACAGTTATTAGTCTGCTTTGGTATTTGGGACCGTGTCATCTTCCTCTAACACCCCTCATCTATCTTCTTTCCAGATGTTTTCCTGCTGACAACTCAGCTGTTTATCCCCAGGAGGGAAGTGTCAAATTGATCGATGCTTGCATGTTCGTTCGCTTTGTGGGGGAAGTTTATGATTGTCATTCTCATATCTTTGCTGTGCTGACCTTGATGTATGCATGTATGCTTTCTAAAATAACGTGAGCGGACTTTGATGTCTTCCGGTTTCATACACTTAAAAAAACGTCAAACATGAAAAATGTCACCATGTAAAATAAGACCTCTGCTCTATTGGCCATATAGATGGGGAATCGTGCACCTTTGCCGATTGTCTTTGTTCCCCGTTGAGACATCCATCGGGTACATTCACCCTTTGTCTCCGTCTCTATTCTCTGTTTTATTTTATACCTGAAACCTTTGCAAACATCTTTAATAAATCACCTATTGTGCTGTACACGGTTGACCTCTTGCTACTGCGAGATAAGTCGGGTTGGTCGGACGGTGAAATAATGGTGCAATATCAAAGTGTACAGGCCAAACTGTTGCAGCACTCACCTTCCGAAGATAAAACACAGCTTCACATTACGAAATACAACAACGGGCCTAAGTAACAAATATAGCAATACTATAGCAAATTGTTAATTATAATTAACGCAGACCTGGGAGCGAAAGTGAGGCCATGAGCACAACTGTACAGTGTTGTGTTACAGAGAGCAGCACAGCTATTGTCTTTGTACTGGCTGCAGTAAGCCCAGCGGTCTATACTGTGAGCACGCCTCTGCTTGCCCTTTGGCATACAGCCCTGGTTAAATTCCTCATGGCCCGTATGCACATGGCTGTTTGCGTTGCAGATCAGGATGATGACACAAAATGTGATTTGCAGGAGAGTTCAGAGAGGGCTTTGAGCTCATTGGTTGTTTACTGGGAAATGATTTGTACTCACCCATCAACCACCTGCTTATGCACAGCCTTCCAGTTCTCACTGTCACCCTCGACCCCCATCTTTGGGTTGAGGCCCTGCAGAGAAACTCCGGCAACATTCACACCGCTCCACACAGGCACTGTGAGAGACCGACAGACACACACGAGCAGGGAAATATTAGTTAATCCTGACCACAGATTCTAACACACCGAGGCAATCATCTCAACATAAAACATGCGGTTGATGTATTAAAAGATTTGTGGCAGACCAACAAAGCAGGACAGTGGAAGGGCTGGCAGAGGTTTTATTTTTAGTTAAGAGCTGCATACCACTGGAGTCTCCATGCTCTCCGACGATCCAGCCGTGGCAGCTGGAAGGGTGGATGTTGAGCTTCTCTCCCATGAGGTGGCGGAAACGGGCGGAGTCCAGGTTGGTGCCGGAGCCAATGACGCGGTGGCGGGGGAAACCACTCAGCTTCCAGGCCACGTAGGTCAGGATGTCCACTGGAGGGGTTACAAAAAAAAAAAAAAGAGATGCTCATTTCATCCGCGCTATCTGAAGCCACACCTTCTCCCCTCCCTCACCCATTCACACTACGGTCTGTCTAACCTGGGTTGGAAACCACCATGATGATGCAGTTGGGGCTGTACTTGACGATGTTTGGGATGATGAACTTGAAGATGTTGACGTTGCGCTGCACCAGGTTAAGGCGGCTCTCGCCTTCCTGCTGGCGGGCACCGGCCGTCACCACCACCACTTTGGAGTTGGCTGTCACACTGTAGTCTGACAAACAGACAAGAGGAGAGACGTTCTGATGGAGCTACACAAAGATAGCTTCAGTAAAAGCCAACTGGCATACCGCGATGAAGACAAGTTCTTCAAGAATCTAATTATATTTTTGTACATTCTCACCTTTGTCAGCTACAATCTTGTGTGTCTTGAGGAAGAGGGAGCCGTGCTGCAGGTCCATGACCTCACCCTTCAACTTTTCCTCCATCACGTCAACAAGGGCCAGCTCATCACACAAGTCCTGAACATAAGCATAGAATTAGACCTTGTGACAACTCATTACACACTTTATACGATGGACCTTATATCACATGGATAAAGCTACATTGAGGCTTATTCAAAGTGGCTGAACTCTAGGATCTCTAGGTGTATATAACATGGATGTAAAGGTGAGGAACAGCCTGCTGCCCTGACTGCTCAGCAGCATTGTTAGCTGTAAGACCGGTGACCTGGTTTCTCGTTGCCTCTGTTGTTCCTCAGCTGGCACGGTTAGCTAGTTGTGAATGGAACAGGACAATATTAAGGAAATGCAATGTTTCCTGTGCCATTTTGAATAATAAGTAAGCATGCAGGTTTTCAATTATACCAAGCGCTGCAGAGGCCGATTCCACTAGTCGGCACACATCAAAGTCTGGTTGAATGTTTCTCAGTTCAAAGACTATTTTGCACATCCTTATTAATCCATTCGTTCATACTGTAAGCCACACACACACACACACACACACACATCCCTCAACTCTCTTTTTCTCACCTTGAGCAGGACGCTCATGGCAGAGGCCATGCCCACCATGCCGACACCCACCACCGTCACCTTGCTCCTGCTGCCGACAGGCTCCTCCTTCATCACATGGCTGATCAGCTTCTCCTTGGTGGACATCTGAGGTATTTTGGAAAGAGTAGGTAAGCGGGTCAATAGAGCATAAAAGGGGAAGGAGGAGGGGGAGTGGAATCAGAGAGGCAGTGAAGTAGTGCTGCATGTCGTATGAGACAGTGTGTTGCGTTGTTATGAATAGGCCCACACGAGGGCATACTTGACGTGACTTCTTTCTAATCCTGCAAACTTATATTTCCCTTTTCATCTCTGTAAAAAAATGGAAAGTATGGCCTTCTCATAATCCCCAAAACACAACCTCTGACCACCCTAAGTTCCGGTTCTGTTCTCATGACTCTTCTCTCATGTTTACTTCCTTAAAAGGTTTGTGGAATTTCTTGCTTCACAGCGCCACTCTAGGTCTCCACGGCAACCCCCTGGCTGGGAAAATACTGCATCCCGTCTCTGGCTGACGTCACACACTACTGTGTGGTTTCCTGGTCGGTGTGTGCTCACACTTTCAAGGGTTTACATCATCAGCATGACTAGATTTTCTCTCTCTGCGATGTGGAGACGAGCACGTTGTGGAGCACATGACGGGATGAAGACACTGTAACACCTTCCTTGAGAGGATATTTAAGACCTCTCCACGGCGTGTTTGCACACAATAGTCAGATATGGTAAGTGGGACAGTCATACCCAATATCCCTTTATCCAATTATCTCTCACACCACACAGAAGTGTAAGCTTACAACATACCAGGGGCTGACCCTGAGGTGAGCTGGTTTGGTGATTGACAAGAGGACCCTTTGTTAGCTTATAGTAAAGGATTACTGCACTCAATACCAACCAGAAACATTAACTATTGTAGCCAGACTAAATGAGGATTACAGGAAGGATTATTAGCAGCTGAAAGAACTCAGTGTTATATCGTAATAACGAGATATCTGCAGCGTTAGTGCTCTCACTAAGATCTGCTTCCCAATGGGCCGGCCTATGGATGCAGTGTATTTACTGGCACAGGAAATGTCCCACTGACTGCTGTGTTGATGGTGGTCTTCATGGTCAAGCAGAGGTCAACACAAACCACCTGATGACCCAGATTCAAACCTCCTGCCCTTTAGGGTTGTTATTATAACCTATATTATAGGGAAAAGGCTTTTGGGATATTTCCTATATTTAATTCGCGTGGGCCCCATAATATTAACAATGTATTGAAGGTATATATGTCCTTATAACGACATTCTTATAAAACCCATTCATGCAAGTGCAACAAGTAGGCTGGGAGATTTCCCTGGCAGGCCTACAGCCTGTTGCTTCAGCTACTCTTGTTTTATTACATTAAAAAAAAAAAATCCATTCATTACATAAATGAACTGTAACACTTGTAGCCGGAAGGATAACCCGTCGTAAACTGAAGATGGCGCCAGGCTCATTCGCAACAACCAACTAACACTATCGATATTGACCAGCGACACAGCCCTTATTTGCTTGTCCCCTCACAGTGCGCATCAGGTTGCTGAAAAGCCCCCCACCAGCACCAGCACCCCCATTAAAACTACTTCTGTCATTACGAGATAACGACTCAAAATAGAGGAGTTTCCGGAGTGTACAATACGTAATAGGTTATATATATATATATATATATATATATGACGGGTTATCTTACCTTTAGGCTTTAGATAGTCAGGTGGAAACACGAAGCTGTATCTGGTCCTATGCAGCTTTTCCGCAGAAGTGGTGCTGCAGAGGGGGAGTCTCCCTGGTATTTAAAGACAGACTCCTCGGTAGACGTGACGTACGCACATGTTAATGAGACCGGGTGGGTCGCTGCGCATGCTGATAGTCACGTCCCAGGCAGGATGCGGCGGTGCAATGGTTTGCAACCGGCGTGACGTTACCATACGCTTCCCTTTCAACATTTTTTTGTCCCGGTTGAACGTGATGTAGCATCGTAATAGGTGGAGTGGGGATTGCCTTGGAGTCTTATACGAGTCATGTAGGCGATGCCATTTGTATGTTAATTTAATTAACTCGGCTGTTACTTAAGAGGACATTTGAGAGGAAATGGTCAGTCTGGAAGTGGAGAAGTACCGGTATGTTTATGAAGGTATCCGGGTTTATTACGTCATCATTAAAATATCAGCAGCGTTTTAGCGCTCCCTCCTGTCTAGTTTCAGGTATTACAAGAGAGCGATATGACATAAACTTCAACAATAAGCCATCTGATCTGTGTTACCCATCTGAGGAATGTTCTGATCAGATAGAGCTGATTCGACTGACAAAAGACACAAGGCTTGCATATTAGTTACAACATCGCATTTCTATTTTTCATTGTTCTGGTCTACCGTTCGGCCTGCACTGGGACTAAAGATCCGTGCTCTCAGACTGTCCAGTTCTAGACATACTGTTTTGATAATAAATCAAATGTTGAAGTGAAACACTGGCTTTGCGTTGACTCCTAATTATTTTGGTTGCAAGTTCTTTTACAAGCAAATACAAGAACTTGGAGCTCAGTGTAGAGCAAACTGATCTGTTTATGATATGATGTTATTAGTCATGAGCCCTCTCAATGCCGTCTCTCTGCTCTATTGTTGTGCGATGATTTCACATCCTGCTATGCAGCCTAATCTCCTTTCACTCAAACCTGAGAGGTGTTTCAGCAATCTGTTGGCTTTACTTTAGACAAATAATCTAATCAGCTCTCAGGTGAGGTTGACATCTTGCAGTGGGGGGGGGGGGGGGGGGGGGGGGGGGTATTTGTTTTTGGGGGAGAGAAAAAAAAAAACGGAAAGGA